TTGATATCTCTTGAAATCACTATCCTGATCTTTACCTTAAAGACACCACACGGAAACTAGTGCCATTCGCACAACAGCGGTGTTATTGATGTTTTGTTTATTTGTATCCCCCAGGTGTATTACCAAACGTATGAAAAGGGAGATGGGAAGAATGGCACTGATGAAATTATCCAAAGAGTGTCACTAGATGTTCGAAATAACACCACGCTCCAACTTCCTCCTAGTAAGTATAGTGACTAGGACGTGTACTACAATTACATGTACCTGTACTTCCCTTCCTTAAATACCAACTACAGGTACACTGGAACAGTGACCCTATCGTCACTTTCCCTGTGAAACTTTTACTCTACAAAAGTACACTTAAGTGGTTCGTGTTTCGAAACAGTATGACGTGTTGTTTTATCTTAACGTGTGCTTGCAGGTTTCTCTGCCCTGTGGGTACTGGTGGTCACTTGGACGTATCTCCCGCCATACACAGGTTGCTCTTGCTATGACATCTGGGATTTCAATTCAACCAACTGTGCTGCCAACTCATGGTGCTCTCGATGTGCCAGTGAAGTACCAGGTTTACCGGTAATTTTATTTATATATCACTTTTCATAAAAAACTTCAGTTCGTAATTATTTTCACTCATTCCACATAGAAATCTGTGGTACGTTACTATGATTTTAACTATTTGTTCATTATTTTGTTTACGGGCATGCCCACCGTATTTTTAATATAACATTTGAAATGTATACGGTTTTACAAAAATACAATGGACAATAAATCTGATATTTTACTGGTTATTTGGAAGGCCAAGCAAATGTCTACTATTTTCACGTTTATTTGTTCATTAAGTGCAGTAATAAATTTTAAACTTAAAATAAGAAAATACATAATTGATGGTTAATGTACATGTATATATGACTAATAATCTGTGCTGTGGATAATCACTGCGTAAAATTTATAGGTAAACCATTTCCAAGCAGTTTTGGCGACTGACGGACAATATTCTGCAGTCAAATTCATATACCCCAACGGCGGCATCAATTGGTTTTTCGAAGGTATGCGTGTCAAAGGAAATGTGTTTCATTAATTTGATTTAATTGAAATATAATTTATAAATGGAAAAAATAAAGCACAATTGTTTTATGGAATATTAATATACAACTGACAAATTAAATTTTGATAATCAAAAAATGCTAAAAGTAGGTCGTAAATGTCTCATCGCAACTATAAAAGTGATTTTTAAAAGACTTAGTGGCTAATTTAACAGTCATTGTTTTAGGTATCAATTCCTTAATTGTATATTCACAACAAATTTTGTCGTTGATAGCATGGATAAGCCTACGTATTTAAGTAATACTTACGCAATGTGGTTCCAAATAATTTCCTTTTTAAAGAAGGTTTTTCATATGCTAAATGCAATACCTCTTGCAGATTACAGTGTGGCTACATACGGATCCTTCTCTCTGGACACACGTGATCTGCCCGTGGCGGGGTTCAGTGCCGGGGACGGATCTAACACTACGTATGCAAACTATGCAAACACTCCCTCTAGCGGCCGATCTAGTATGATTAACGCAGATACAGCAATTGGTAATACTGGTAAGACAGTCGTATTATTTTTGTTTCTTTTTAAAATGAAGTATTGATAGTACTGAATGTTAATTTTTATTAGCAGTAATAAAAACATAGACTGTTTCTATTAAAAAGGAAATAGGTCTACGAAGGATTTACTGGGTAAATAAAGGAGGTTTTTGAGTCATTTTATCGAAATAATTTATATTACATATAAATATGTTACAGAATAGTGAACTTTTCTGGAAAAAAATGAGTGTAAAAGGTCTACAATTGAAATTTTTTCTTAAAGGAAAAGGCAAAAAATTGGAATGTTTCTATATTATATCAATTACGCACGGCAAAACCAAAATGAATTTTAACACTACTATTACGCAGACGAAGTATCGATTCCACTTCTTGAAACTGCAAATTTGACGATTTTAAATGATAGTTGAAATTGTAATTATACGGCATTAACCAGTGTCTTTTCATTAATTCTTGTTTTAATGATGGTGTTCTGGCAACATGTGAAATAAGCGTTCCTCTTTATATTCTTACTAGGAGAGATCGGCACCTTCACGTTCCGCTTAGACAACTCCAGTGGAACAGCGGAACCTTGGTTACAGTGCTACAAGTGGTGGCGGGACGAGGCCAAAACGTCATATTCTCGCGAGAATACAATCACAGATCCTTGTCCCTGCCAGGTGGGACAGGCATCGAATGACAGACGGTGAGCATTTCCCTGTGTACACATACAACAATCCCGTAGCTTTTCAACTATCCTCATGATCATTTACTTAAGAATAAATCTGGTATCTTTCAAGATGGGGTCATTACTTCTGGCGAAAACCTGTTCCTTAAATAATCAAGGTTTTTAATGTAATAAAAAATTACGTGTTCTTAAATATTTCACTTTCAGTTACCGTTTTGAGAATTCCACCCGGCATACGGTGTGCTATACGACAGTTTTCCTGAAATCCGGCATGAGGCAGATGTGCTGCTATGAAAATGATCCAGAGGCAAAGAACTTTGGCTCTCTGTTGACGAACGCGCCGCGGGCTGGTGCCTTGGTTGTAGCATCGGTAAGATATTTTCCGTTTGTTTTCGTCCCCTTTCACCGACATCATTAGTGACCGAAGATTTAATAATATTCATGCCGGTAGGTTTGAGGTGAGAAACACAATCGCACCCACTTTCAATCACTAATACAAAATATTAGCTGAAAAGAAATAAGTGATTTTATTTTCCAATTGGTTTAATCGATTAACATATCGTGAACCCTTGCGTTGCAGTAGATAGTATTGAATTCGTTTTATTCTCCAGACCGAGAATGACGATAGAACTGCCTTCGAGAACTGTTGCGTTCTGTCTTACGGTCTGTGTCAGCTCTATTACTACCACAGGCCGCCAAGAGACTGTACTGGCTATACACAACCAAGCAGAGGTAAATGAAATAGTGACGTCTTTAAAATAGAAAAACAACACATCCTGTGTAAGGGGTAAATCATAAAGCAAAACGCAACTCGTAAAGCACAATTATTGAGCAGACCATTTACGTTAATGGTATTACAGTGTATTTTTTTTACTTTCGGTCAAACAGCTCTTATATGGGGAGATCCACACCTGATGACCTTGGACGGTATGAACTACACTTTTAACGGCCAAGGGGAATTCATTTTCGTGGATGTAAATGATGGCGAACTGCAAATGCAAGGCAGAATGACCAAGGCCAAAGGTAAGCTGGACTATCAGTGTCAGGACTTACATTGGAAATACAAAAATTATCAGATTATAAAAAAATAAAAACGAAATTGCTTGGCGCATTTTAATGAATCAAATAAATTAATGCGTGCAAAAATAAGGTAGCTTAATAAATTTAACTTCACAGCATACATAGGTATAAATGGGAAATTTGAAATGATATTTATTTGGCAATTTTCAAGTAAAAGCTCCCCATTTATCAAATTGCTTTTTTTTATGCCAACGTTTAGTATCCAATCCATAAGCTTTTTACCGCATATTCCAGGCACAGGACAGGCAACTATACTGACCGCAGTCGCCATACAGGTCACCAACCAGTCAGGTATCCAAGTGAACCTGAGAAACAACACGCAGTCAGAGCTGGAGTTGCATGTGAACTGCACGTTGCTGGACACTGGCAACTATACAAGCCAACCCAGTACGCATCCTTTGCTCCCAGCAAGTGTACTGCTCTCCAAGCCGGACAACAGCTCAGTAGAGGTGTTATACGATATCGGGATTGCCATCATTGTGAAAGCCGAACATGTGAGTGTGTTGTGATTATTTCCAGTTATGATGCATCTATGTTTTGTCATGTACATCCATGTACATGTATATGACACCAGGTATTTGAACTAATGGAAGAGATACCTTTTAAAAAGCTTTGATTTTGCATCTAAACAATTAAAACAAAATTCATTAAACGCCGTTTATTATTCAAAGCTATAAGTGGCTATTTATTTATTTATTATTTTTTATTATTTATTGCGGTTCAAGTACATTTTTTACAATGACTATGACCTAACAGTATACATAATATAATCATATAACTAAAATTACAATAGTAAATTACAATATTGTTTATACAATAACTGTGATCAGATTTTACAATTGCAGTATTTATGTCATATTGTTTATAGTTGTTTTATGTTAACTATTTTTAAATTGACATTATTATGGACTTTTACTTGCAGGATATGTTGGCCGTCGTCCTTGATGTTCCAAGCAATTTTTCCTATAGCACGCGGGGGCTTGTGGGAGTAATGAACGGAGATATGGCGGACGATTTCACACCGTTCAATGGCACAGCAATACCAATAACATCATCTGAAGAAGACTTTTACAGACTCTTTGGTTTGACGTGTAAGAATATTAGCAAAACGTGACCACACTGAAAAAACTCTAGTTCTTTGGGGCATCTCTCTCTCTCTTTCTCTTTCTCTCTATCTCACTCACACACACACGCTTGATGTCACATTTTCTAATATCCTTCAATCGATCAAGAGAAAGAGAGATTGCACTCTTGCATAGCCATTAGTCGACTTTATACGTCCGAGAGACATTCTTAGATAAGTAGATCCGGTATGTGATGGAAGGGGGCGTATTTTGACTGTCTTCGCCGCAATGTTAGAAAGGGTTTTGACCAAGTAATAACCCGTCTTAGTCCGCTTTTTGGTAATTAGAGTTCCTAAGAACAATGTTACCTGATGTATTTATAAACCTTATGATCCACAGGGATGGTAACCAACGGTTCCGGACCAACAGGGAGTGCGTTCTGCTATACAGACGGCGAGGACTATGCCACATACAATGACCCAGAGTTCGTCCCAATGTTTACAGATAACTTTACCTTTTATAATGTGACTCTACAGCAGCAGGCTTTTGAAGTGTGTGGTGATTACACCCCGTGTCTGTTTGACATAGCACAGACTGGTGATCTAACGTTTGGCGAAATCACAAAAACCGAGAAAGTCGCGTTTGACGCAGCAGTAGCAGATTTGGGTACGTTTGTGCGCGCTTTCAATTTATCACTGAATTTCTTTCAAAATTTAAAGCATCAAATGAATCATAATCGTAATATTGAAATTAAATGTCTAAACTAACAGCTCCTGGGAGTACATTTCAGGAACGGAATTTAACAACAATATTGTTTAATGCGTCGTGTCTCCATTTGCTTTGTTTATTCTATTGAAATCAAATATGGTTTTTACTTGTAACTGTGACTGTTCACCTCGGATTGTTTTCTAGGTAATTTTCCCCCTGTGGTTATCGGACCACCATCACATCGGGTTAACATAGGTGAATACACCCAGATAGTGATAAACATTTCCTCGCGGCACGGGGACAGCATCCAGGACCTGCTGGATACAAACGCTTCCAGTGGCGTTAACTTCACTGTCCTGAATGAACAGCAGGGCGCCATAGGCATTATTCTGAACTCGGTGAACGCCAACTTAACCGTGACATTTGTTGCCAAGGTACGATGCTTCTCATTCTGAACAGTACTGCTTGTCATGACAAATGTTACGTATTTACGCGCATTTTATGCAACATGCAATATCGATTATTTCGTCTTACCGTTCACAATTCTATTGTTTCTTATATTTCAAGCCATCAATCAGCTTAACTGCTGCCAACTGAAAATCCTGCGGTTCGTTATTTGATGTAAGGTGCAGCGTTAAAACCAGCAAGGGTGGCAATGATTTATTTCAAATCGTTGCTCGTTGTCGTTCAATATGCCAATGCACGTGTGATGTTTGTGTCGTTCATTCAAAAAGAATTCACCATTTGCATGCACATATGAATAACTGTATTTAAACGTTTTCTAAACGCTGATGTTTTGTTGCAGGGTTCCAGTAACGCCAGCAGCTCGTACACCCCTGTGCTAGAGTACTGTCCCTGTCTTAATGGCGGGACCTGTGAGCAGTTAACTGACGAAGAACTAAGGAAGACAGATGCAAAGTAAGTGTACACATGTGTTCATATTACGCCGCCTTAACTAAGAATGTATACGCGGATTTTCTTCTTGCTCTTGAAAGTTTTTTTAATAGAGCACATTAAAAAATATATGGGAATGCTCGAACGCCAGAACGAGTTCAAAGTGTTCCCTCGTTTATGATTATGACATCATCAGACAGAATGTACATGAATAACCTTATTACGAACAGGTTCATAAAACTGGAATGCACATGCCCAGACAACTACTCAGGAACCCACTGTGAAGATGTCATTGACGCATGCGCAGCAACTGACGACCCGTGCTTCCCTGGCATCCGCTGTCTGAGCACCACGCCCACTGTCAACGTGTCCAGTTACTCGTGCGGACCGTGTCCACATGGCTATTCTGGAGACGGAAAACAGTGCGATGGTACATTGCTTTTCTTACTTTATCTGATAAATTATTGAGATACCAAAATCATTGTTGTACCTGATACAGTCAAGTAGGTTCGAAAGCACCAACTCTATGTGTACTACACCGTTATGAGCTGATTTTGTATCTTGAAATATGATATGTTTCGTGCATCTGTTATAAATTTAAACGAACACTTCTTAAGATCTGTAGACAAGCATGTTTTATACTTAAATTGAATTTATCTCCTCACAGAATTGTGACAGCGTAAATGTTGACATTACAGATATTGACGAATGTGATACGAATCCGTGCGAGGATGCGTGTGTGAACGTTCCTGGATCGTACTATTGCTCATGCGCAACCGGATATACACTTGCAGCAGACGGCTTCAGTTGTGAAGGTGATTGGGTAGTTCCATTTAGCGGCGTATTTCGAAAAGATTTTCCAGAACCTTTTCCCAGTTGATATTGCTGTGACTTATAATAAACATTCATATTTAATATACTGTACATGTAATAACTACTAGTATCTACTAAAATGCAGTCATTACTCAATGCAGTTCTGTTAGTAATCCTTTTTATGCTTTAATTAACTAACTGATGGTTTTGGAATTGTTAAAGACTTATTCTTGTCCACCAAATTTTGGATGATTATTACGGTTTTATCATTTGTTTTTTAACCTTAAAAAAGTTACATTATAATACCAACATTTTATCTCTTTTTATTATTTATTATGACATAAAATATACACAATCATCTTTGCCCTATTACAGATGTGAATGAATGCTCTCCTGCCAATGACTGCTCACAAATTTGCGTCAATGAGGTCGGCTCCTATCGTTGCATGTGTGATGCTGCTTTTGTAATGCAATCGAACGGAAAGGACTGTATCCGTAAGTTTTCAGAAGCTTGGAGTACCATGAGAATTCACAACTGTTCAAAGGTCCTTCAGCAGGATTTGTTGTTATGACCATTTTAAGAATACGTGTAGGCCTATGTGATAACAAGAACGTACAACGCAAAATACTAAAACTTGTCTCCAATGTGTAATATTTCCTCTACTGGTAGCTTTGAGCTGATAATCAACACGACTTAATTGACAGTGCAATCATACTTCAATTTACAGCTGTACAGTCCCCAATGCGGTTTTGTATCCCTATTATTCAGACATTCTGAGTTTTGTACATATATTGAATACTCTGTCTTTGGCGTATTTACCGTTAGCCACCCATCCGTGTGACATCAACTCTCTTGGCTGCGATCTTACCAACGGCTGGTGTTATAATTTATCTTCCACTGGCAACCAGACCTGTGGCTGCAAGAAAGGATTCTCCCTCCTCAATGGCACGGAATGTGTAGGTAAGGTCAAAGCGGTGTTGAACACTTACGCGATCAATAATGAAATGCTGAAAACGTTTGCATTTTAATCGCGGTTTCATTCACCTTCCCCAACACATCCCATGTGAAAAAGATGTTTAAAGATTGGAAGGGAGCTGAATCTGAGAAAGTGTTAGCGGAGTGCTTATCTGAAAGAGAAACGAAACAGAACGGGCGTTTGTGACTGCGTGGAGCTGTACAGGTATAATGAAATATATTTCAGACCAAGATGAGTGTCTGACCGGTAACCACAGCTGCGTCCAGCACTGCCAGAATACTGCTGGCGGCTACAACTGTTCGTGTGATGCAGGGTACACTCTGGGAAGTGATGGATATAGTTGCATAGGTATGTTGCTCGCTCTCTCTATCTCTATCTCTCTGGTGCTTGCGCGTGGATAGTTCTGAAAAACAAGTTATGAGCGTTTACGTTCCCGTACATGTTTGTCTCAAACTGCCTGTCCATTTTAATCCGCCAGTTTCCACACCTGCATCATTTACCTCTGCCAAGAGTTTTCATGTTTTGTTCTGAATTCTTTCTTAACTCTTTTTAAAAACGAAGCTGTACCGCATCCTGGTATTTTTATGGACATAGAAAGTCACAGTCAACCAGATCCTCATCATATGTCAAACAACTGATACAATAACTGTATAATTATGGAGTAAAGGTGTAAAGTCTTAGGTTTTATTTATGGTAATATAGATATAGACGAGTGTTGGCTGCTACTGGACAGCTGCCTGGACACCCAGGAGTGCGTGAACACAGAGGGGAGCTTTACCTGCCAGTGTCCTGCAGGTCTCATACTGGTCAATGGCAGGTGCACGGGTAAGTGTGTGTGTGTGTGTGTGTGTGTGTGTGTGCGCGCGTGTGTGTGTGTCCCACAAAAATGAGGACGCTTGAGTCACGTCAATGGTGCACACAGTTGATGTAATGTTTTATAACTTTGCTATATCGTTTTGTAATTTCGTTTGGTTTCTTATTTTATTACCTTGAGGGCACTAAATTATACAAATGTTACACAAAATGTGTTAAGTACCTCAGGCAGTTGGGTTCGTTCCAACCACTTAAACCACCTTCAAATATGTAATTTCACTTTTGTTTATCTATTTTCCCTGTAAACCGTATTAGGTATTGTCTTGGCTATGATATTTTTATGGAAGCCAACCTATCGGGG